TCCCAAAAACTCAAAGAAAGGTGAGGTATATAGACAAGAGATAAGCTAAAGATGAAAAAAAAACGGGGGGCCAAATATTGCATACCCGGTCGAGACAGGAGTCTGAAATGGACCTTTTCAGGATGCTATCCATGCACTTTTATAAAAGTGATTCGCCGTAATACTAGGGCCCTATTATACATCTGATTAAGCAATAGATAGGATTGTACAAAAGACTTCTCTCGGTTTATAGAATCACTTATCAAAGTGCACTCATAATCATTCATTCGCCGAAAAATGGTGGTAGACATATCATAATTCTCTCATGAAGAATAATGGGGATGTACTTTGATGGTAACATGAAATCATTTTCAAATCTTCACCGAAACCATTAATGGTATCGATTATGAACATTAGAGATGCCATTAATTCCATTGAGCAGCCAGACAGTGCGTGATTCACCCAGTCTTCCAAATTTTGCTCGATCAAATCTGAATTACCTTTATGAATCGTATGCCCCTGCAGACAGGTGAGAAAAATGGTTATCGTGGAGGAAAGCAGAAAAACTACAAAAGCAAGCCATTCAAGTGGGCTTCACTCGCTCCTGGCAATGTTCTATGTCAGTCTGCCCTTGGGGATCCGGAACAAAGGGTGTCACACTAGCTTACTCTGCCCTTGCAGCTTGTTGTGTGAATTTCATAGACTTCAAGGCGGATGTGGTGAAGTGGCTAGTGGTGCACTATCTCGCACGAACGGTCAGGGGATCGAATCCCGGATCGCCCGCTTAGGGCAACCAGGCCACCAGGTTAATTAGTACCAGATGTACATCGGCTGGCCACCGCAAGTCATTCTATAGGCCCCATGCGCCCTCATTACGCCACTACGATTCTGAATGGAAGTCGAGTGCGGGGGCGCATCCCTCAGACGGACTTGATTGTCGCCAAAACTTTTCCTTTATCCTTTATAATGGTCGTTGAAGGTGTCGCCGAACACTTCGGTTCCTACCCGGCAGGAATAGTTCCTTCGGTCCCTGGAGTATTAACTTTGCTTTGCGCCATCGTTGTCTACGATGCGCTCCAAGAAATATCTTCACTGAAATAAGTGTCGGTGACTCAGTGATAGAGTTGTCTTCGGTTGGCAAGGGTTCTCTGTTAGTTTCCCAGCCTAAGAATTATCAGATTTCAGCGGAAGAAGAACAGCTCAATGTGTCAGTTCTCTACATTGCGTGACCGTTTGTAGTGAATCAATTTGATCAATCCATTGGCAAAAAGTCAAAATTGATTTTGTTCACTTGAACAGTTTACTGTAAATAATCCGATCAATCCCCAAAGTTTTCTCGTTGCTAATGGCAAAAACAATTAGAGCTGTGATTGAAGGTAGGTGATCAGTTTGCCCAAAGGCGTAGAAAACGTGACTAATCACCTGATGTTGTTAGGTATTCACTCGATGGGACCCAAATTGTAAAACTCTCCCACTTCTCACCGTGGGAATTGCACCCATCATCCGAACAGGAAACCCTTGCCAATGACCACGCATCTACTTTCCTTCTCAGTTCCCAAATCACCCTTTTGCAGAAGGACTGTCAGAACGATTTCGGAAAATATTGTCGACAATGGCAACAAGGGCCAAAGGAACGTTAATGTTTTAAAAGGCTGAGAAGGAAACCATTCATTTCTTTCCTTTCTTTTTAATCAAAAGATCAAGAGGAACGTTTCCACCGTCAGCACATCGAGAGCACACACAGGTCTTTCGGCCACCTCGGTTCTCACAGTAGCCAGTGCCACAGTTCTGAAAAATTTGAATTGGCAGCTCTTCAGGTCAGTTGGAAAAACAATTACTTTATGGGTTTACGTACTGGAAAGAGTCAGTTAATTACCTGCACGCTGCACGATGTAATACAAGCAGCTCTGGCGGCTTTGTCTAGAACAGGAACGTCCATTCTGGCACAGGTAGAAAGATAGACATCACTGATTACGATGTCAGCTAGAACAGCCAGCAGGACACACAAAAGAAGTCGATTCATTCTGAATAGGAAATTTTCTGGAAGATATATTGCAAAAGTAGTGTCATCATCGGACGTCTAGATAGAATGTTGTTCGTACAAAACGAGTTTGGGTGCTCGGACACCAAAAAATCAAGTGCAAATCATAGACTCGAGTGCCATCACACACGCATGGTCACGGGTTCGAGTCCCGGTTCGATATCCGTTTGGCACAACCAAGCCTTCTATCCCTCCGAGATCAGTTAATCAGTACCAGACTCGATTGGGAGGGTAAAAGCACTGTCTGTATATTGGCTGGCCACCGCAAGTCATTGCATAGGCCACATATGCATTCAATACGCCACTACGATTCTGAATGCGAGTCGATTGCCGGGCGCACCCCTCAGCAGGGTATTGATTGTGCCCAAAGGCCTTAAAAACTCTCACTCTCAACTCGAAACTTAGGTTTTTGTTTATTAAAAGGGTGGAACACCAGGTGGTACAAGAACACCCCATGGAACGAATCTCTCTGGAATCTTTCTGGTAGGAAACCTAAAGAAGCCTCAACCAAGAACTGGTAGAACTCATAGAGGAAGATGACCATAGTGGGTTCAATCGAGTTTACCAATACGCTTTTATACAGCACCCCACCTATGTCACTGTGACCTTATGACACATCTGAATAAACAAAAAACAAGCGCTGTACAAATCAACTCATACGCCCATTCGTCGACAAAATCACTGATCAAAGCTCTTCCATGGTCAGTCGTTGACTAAAAAACAAGGTCCGGCATTTGAGGTTCCATCATGAATGATAATGGAGAAAGATTTTGAGAATAATAGGAAAAATTCGATAATAATGAAGGAATAATATAGATTTTCAACGAAATAATCAATGATATCGATGCTAAATATTAATGACGAAGGTATTAGTCATTTACCAGAGTCCGAAGGTGTTTGGACGGTTCCTGCAGTCATAAAAGGAGTGAATCATTCTGTCCATCAAGTACGGCTCCATCGAAGTCACGACTTCTCTATGAATCACATCTCTTCGCGAATAATTAAGAAATATGGCTCCTGCTAAGGAAAGAAGAACATTACATAGAAAGAGGAGTAGTCCAGGCTGATTCCGCTACTGATCAGGATGTCGTCTTGAGTAGTCCTGCGTCTCTGCTCTGGGAGAATCTGGAGCGATAAGTTAGTCACCGGCTTTCCTGTAGTGACCCTTGTAAGCTCCAGAATCTCAGAGCCAACAGTTTTCCTAGTACATCGTTCTTCCGCATCTGAATTCGTTTCGGCCTGCGTAGGAAATGTAGGACATCTTCAGCTGAATTTGATTGATCACTGTTCATTATCGACAAGATATTGCCAAGTATCAGGCAACTTGTGGAACTTGCTTGCATAGAATTCCTGAGGTTTCGAGGAGAAGAACTTGCCAATGTCGATTCAGAGTTGACCCACATCATCGTTTTTCTTATTTTTCAGATGGTTTGACAGCGACAGGAGCAGGTGGCAATCCGTTGAAGCCAGCTCTGGTGAATACTGTGGATGGGCCAGAACATGCCATCTCAAGCTCTGAAGTTTCTTCTGGGCCTCCTTCGAAATTTGTGGGCGAGCACTGTTGTGGAGAAAGTAGATTTTCCCCTGTTTCTCTCGTATATCTGCAGCAATAAGGGTCATAGAGTATACAAGGCTACGATGCTGACAGTGGAGTTTTGTGGCAAAAAGTCCCAGTGAATGATCCTTCCAAATGGCTATGAGCGCTGAGCATTGCCTTTCGAGGTTGGAGTTCTGGTTTGGGGGTCAGAATTCCATGCTATCTGCGTCCGAGCTACTTGTGTGGTTTACTGAGAACACACTTCTCGTCGTCGGTGATTAACTCCTCCAACCATGCAAATGTACGCTGAAAAGTCAACAAACTGAGGCATGAAGATCTTCTCATTTGAGTGGTGACAACCCAGCTAACAACTTATCCATATCTCCGAATCTCCACGTCTTTTCGAGGCGATGCAAATAGGTGGCTGCTGTGTCGTGATGGCTATGAGCTCCTGTTACAGCTCGCGAGTATTACATATGGAGTCCTCTTCAACCAGCTTCAGAGGTTGTCGTTATTGAGTTCAGGTAGTCTCTCAGATCGTGGTTTTTCGGTCCAGCCAAAGTGACCGTTTCTGAGCTGTGGTACCGATTTCTTGCTGCGTGTGAGAGACAATGCGGGTCCGCCACATATCTCCCCTGTCGCTCAATTTGGGTTAACCTTTTTTCTGAACTTATAAAGCAAAGACAGTCTGACTCGCTTTGAGTCGAGAGCGAATCTTGCAGAAATAACCGTTGCGAAATGCTACGACAGATATGGTGCGAAGAGGGCATTGACATGCACTTACACATGTCCCGAATTGAACGCTTCAAAACAATCCCAAAGGATTTCATAGACAGAAAACGAAAATGTTCAAAGACTTATGCTCCACCCGAGATCACCTAAGGTGGGTAGGATGTATGGGAACGAAAATCATGCACAGGAAAAAGGTCCTCATAGTAACTCGTCTATGAGTCCTGACTCGGGAACCTGGTGGTGATACTACGCAGCTAAGTGGCTAGCCCTCACTCACCCCCTTGTCCTAACCCGGGGTCTCTTTTGATGTGTTGTGCATATATGTGAACAAGACAGATTTTATAATTCCGTGAATGTCTTACACAGTAAAACCACTTGAGCGCTTCCAAACACCCTCACATATACAACGCAACAAAAAGGTACCCTGGGTGAAGTCCACGTGGATCCCTCGAATTGTATGTGACGGGATAAGGATATGAGTATTTAAATAAGGTTATGCCGTAAAATGAAGCCTTCTGTGAAATTCTGCGCTCACTGGATTCTGTTCCCCATGAGGTAACAGTAGGGATCGGGTTCGGAACATTAACCCAGTTGTGAATGGACGGGGCAAACTGCGCGGCGAATTTCGTGATGATTGAAACGACTTTGACGCCTATCAATGTGGCACAAATTTAAGTACATATGGCAGATAAGTAGCGTCAGCTGGTCTTACCTATATAATCTATTCAAAACATGTGCCCTTATCAAAGGTACCAGAACCGTATAAATCATCACGAATTTCACCGCCACAATTTTGCCGCGCCCATCCGGAATTGGATGAAGAAACCCACTCCAAGATTGCGGTATTCTCCCTTGCGGCATGCGGCAAAT